GGTGCAAAATCTGGTGCAAAAATGTGGCGCGTGAATAGTGCTAAATAGTAGCCGACTTTTCCAATTAATTATGATTTTTGGTTTTGATAGCTAGACTTGTTGTTTTTGCCTCAAATTTTGTGTGGTAACTTACTTAAAACTATATTTTGTGTAAAAAATAGCTATTGAGTATGGATTTATGTTTTAGGTATTATTTGGAGGATTTTTACCGATTGATTTATATGATTACATGTTTGTTGTGAAAAATTGCCTGATTACAAAGTATAGGTTCGCATTGAGGGCACCAGGCGCAATTCTTTGCACTGAGCACAAATTAATAATTTCTTAGGAAAATTGAGTCGGACTTAGGAAAATTGAGCCAGACTTAGGAAAATTGAATCGGGCTTAGGAAAGTTGCGTCGAGCGCAAAAAAAGTTGCGTCAGGCGTAGGAAAGTCACGTCGAGAGCGTGTGAAGCTATATCGGGCAGATTTCTTCGCTTTAGGCGTGACATTAAATTCGTCGAGCGCACTCAGGGCGTACCAGGTGTGCTACTCTGCTTTTGGTGCGACATCTAATTCACCAGGTGCGAGTTGGGGCACGTCAAGTGTGACCCTTGCTGATGTCTACATGTTTCTTGTGTGTTTGGAGGTACAAATTAGATATGAACTGTCTTGTTCTGATTTGATGTGAATTATGTGTTCTTATGTATGTTATGATGAAGAGAATCCCTATGTAACAACTTGGGGGAGACTTAGGGGATAGTGCGGTTTAGATGTCTCGATTCCACCCATTTGTGAGCACGAGACATAACTTGCGCAACTTCACTATCCCGACCAAACCCTAGCAGTACACCCTTCTAGTTGAGAGTGTATGGGTAGCTCCCTACATGTACTCCTAGACTACCTTAGGTGTGTTGTTTAGGCAGCACACCAGTGATATGTGATATGTGATATTGGCGCCACATGCATGCATTTTTTAGTTGAGTCGTTAACATCATTGCATGATGAATGACTGTGTATGTGTTATTGTTGTATGTGTAACTTGAATTTGCACTTGGTTAATATATATCTATGATTGTAGTTAGTATGATTGTGTATGTGTTGCTTGATTGTTATTTTTACACCTTAACCTGAGTGAGATGTTTCTCACTCCCCTGTTTGTTCTATTTGTGTATTTTATTGTGTTACAGATGACCATCAACATGAGGATGTTGGTGATGAAGCTTAGGCTTCAGTTGGGCGTGTTCTGATAGGATATGTGATATCAGGGCGTAGTTAGAACTAGTTTAGGATGCTATTTCCATTGAACTATTTTCAAAACTTCAGTTTCTCTTCTTTTTAATTTCCGCATTTGAGCTAGTGTTTATAAGTTTATGAATGTGAATCATTTACGTAAGATATTTGAGATTCTGATTTTACTTATGAAAGATTTTAACGATTCCTATTTATTATGTAATTATGAATGTGGGGTAGAGGGTGTCACATTTATTTTTTATTTATATTTAATAGTACTTTATTTTATGTTGTTGATAAAATATAATAATTATTAAAAATTATTAAAATATTTTAATTTGCTTATATATATATATATATTAGTTTTTTCATTTCATTTTTATTTTTTATACATTTTTTTAATTTATATCTGGTAACAATTTATTTTTAAATTTTTTCTTTTGAGTTTGATATATGTATTGCATTAGTTTCTTTTATTTTTACAAATAATAGTTTTATATATAATTGCTTTTTGAGAATATTTTGAAAAAAAGATAATTATTGTAAAATTTCTTCCTTTTATATTATTAATAAATATGAACAAAGCAAACAAATCACATTAAATAAAGGACACAAATATTAATGATTATTTATCTTTTATCGTATTACCAGTACATTCTATAGGCAACTATACAAAATCTGGCAAATCATATAAAATTATAATTTGATAATTATTTATTAGTATATTAAAATGAGTTTAACTTCTGTATAATTTTTTTTAAATGTTTTACGAAGCCTATTAATATCATGATTAGAAAGAGAGTCCAACTCATTTGATTAATCAATAATGACAAGATTTAAGTATAATTTATGCATAAATATATATTAATGAGATTTGTATTAAATATACTTGCATAATATCAAGATAAATCTCTAATTTTAATTGAATAACAACATCAATTACATATAAAAAAACTTTACCTAAATTTGTCTTATGTATAAAATTTTAGATATGTTTAACAAATATTAAGATACAAAATAAGAAAAATAACATAAAACAAATATTAATTTAGATCTAAATAAATTTTTATCCTATAAATTATTTATTGAATAATGAACATCACAAATAAAAGTATCTCCCTTCAAACAACATAAAACAAAAATTACATGTTTGTAATTATAAAGTGAGAGGTAAATTCACTACAGAAAAGTTTAACCTCTAAAAAAAATTGAGGCACTGAGAACTAGTTTATAATTTTTTAAAATGTTATTGTTCCATTCCTTTTTTTATTTTTCTTTGCAATAAAGTATAACATGCACATAGTATAGATGTGAGGATATTGGTTGAACAAGTTAGTTAATTGCTTAAACTTATTCAATAAGATATAAGTTCAAATTTTAAATTTTGAAATTAAATTAAATTGACGTAAAATTGATCTCCCTTCTTATTTATTGTGTATAACAGGAATAAAATATGTTTAGTTGACATAATTACAATATCCAATATAAATAATGATATTTGATAAAAACAAAGATATTTTTTGGAAATAAAAATTAAATATTTATTCATATTTAAATTATAATAATTATATATAAATTAGAATAATGTATGTAAACTCGTAAAGATTTTAAAAAAATTTTAAATATAAATTAGAATAATTATATTAAATGAGTTTTAAGGATTTTTTTTAATAAGATAGTTGTTTTTAATTTTTTTCAAGGTTCGTGTTTTTTCAAAGATTTTTTAATCACTTATTTTTTGATTTATCATTTATTATTTTTAAATTTAATTTTAATATATATTTTTAAAAAATTAATGATTAAAAGAGTTTTGTATTAAAATTCGCATTGTCTTGTCTCTCGTGTCTCATGACGAATATAAATGTACCCCACCCATCCCTACAGTCTTCACTCGTTTATTCCTTCTTTCAACAGCTTTCGGTAGATATGCTCCCTTTTTCATTCTTGGAAATTTTATTTTCTTTAGTTTTTTCATTCTTGCTTACACTCCCTCACGCGAAATTTTAACACTATGAATGTCTCAATTAGTCTTCAGTGTGTCTTCATAGTGACAAGTGTTATGATCATTTTTTAAAATCGGTCATGTTTTATTTTTAAAATTAATTGTTTGATCAATTTTAAAAAGTTAATTTTAAAATCGGTTATTAATAGCATTCCAAAACAAAACTTACAAATTAAACAATATTATATAGTTCATATACGATTTTGTTAATTAATGAGTTTTCAATAGATTAAAATATTTACATTTCTTATGTTACTCCTAAATAAACTAAAATACATACAAATGATAAGAAATGTTAAATGTCAACTATAAATATAATCAAAAGAGCTTTAAATACTTACAATACATAAATATAAACATAATAAGTTAAATAATATGCAAAATAATTTTGCATCCTAAACTACAAAGCTTGTGTAAAACTAAAAAACATAAGTTATAGCTAGTCAATGTAAAGCTAAATGAAAAATGTAGCCCATTATTCCTTATGATGTTTATGTCTTCTAGTGACAATGATGATCGACCTATAAAAATATGTTAAAAAAATTAGAACAATTAGTAATAACTCAAAAAACATAATAAAATCATAACTTAAAATAAGATCCGTATTTAATTTTTAGTTAACTTAATATATTCAATATAAAATATATTTTAAAAAATAAATAAACTAACACAATCTATAATAAGTGACCTAATTAATTATAAGGCACCTAATTAAGTTATGGATTTTTATCACATATTTTTTACTCTAAAAAATTAATTTGTATATTAATAGATTTACAATAGAAGTATTTAATATATGAAATTCAGTAATGTAATAATCTGATACAATTATAGAAACAAGGAAAAAATCAATAAAAAAAGAAAAAGCTACATTGATATTGTATATACTTGGGATATAAGGAATCTGCACAAATTGAAGTGTCCTTAATTAAGCACAAATATCTTGTCTCATTGAAATATATAATTTCTTAAGGTTAAAACACCAAATTGAAAACAGAGAAAGTGAGAGGAGATAGATTTACCGTTTTAGCGAGATCGACAACGGTGTGTGTGGCACGCTTGACGATGTGGTCGAAGAAAATTGAATCCAGGATGAAAACCAAGTTCTTATTGTTAAGTTGAGATTACTTGTATCCTTTTAAATTTTTATACTTCCCGTGAAGAAAGTGTTAAGGATGTGCTTTGTACAGTTTGGAAAATTAACCCACTTCAAAACTAGGCATTTTGTGTTCGAATGTTCTCTAGTGTAATTTTATTACATGTTTTAGGCTGCCATGACAAATCATAATATGGCATTGTTACATTAAGCCATACTTTTATTCCTCAATATGATTAGCTTCATAAGCCATTTCATTAATTTTACTTTTATTCATTTTATTGTTATTTTTTTTCTTTTGTTGGCAAAATAATATTAAATCCATACTGCATGCACCTTCACGATAACTCATGCTTATTACTTTTTTTTCATTTGCCTGGCAGGTTGAGGGCTTTATGTTTATATCCTCATTCATTTTGATCATTATATTTAAATATTGAGTGATAAAGTTGAATTTTATTTTGGGAACTGCATTTAGTCTAGTTGTGTACGTGGTAGTTACACTACAAAAAAATATATTAAATAATAGAGGTTATTTTGCAGAGGTTTTAAAAACCTCCTAAAGTTATTAAATTAGGTGAAAACACTGCAATTTTTTTATTTGATTTATGGAGGTTTATAACCTCTTCTAATTAAATAATATTTTTCCCCTGAAATCTTATTTTTTTCTAAAATAAAATATTTTTGCACTTAAACTACCCGCGCGCCTCCCTCTTGTCAAAGAAATGAGAAAACCCTAAACATAGTTCGACGTTCGAGTGCCATCCTTGTAGTGAAGAACATTTGTTTCTTTCTCAGATGATTCTTGCATAGATAACTCAAGCCATACTGCCATTCGAATTTGCCTTACGTTCATGGGCATGGTCCTTTTGAAAGACGAAGTCATACGAGTTTCTCCTTCAATTGAATCAAAGCATAGAGAAATCAGAAAACCCCACCAATCCTATGCTTCTACCAATCGCCGTATCGTTGGAAACGCTTAAACTCATTGATTTTGGTCCCAAGCTTCTACCGATTGTCGTACGTGCTTCCCATTGCCGCAACGGTCTATACACAGATATTTCCACCTTTTTTCCTTAACTTATATTTTTTTTTATTAATTGTGGTTTTGATTTGTGATTTATAGGTCATGGTTTCATGGGGGTTTCGTCATTAGAGGTGATTATTAAGTTTTGGCTCTGATGGGATCTTGGGGAAATTGATTTTTTTTTTCAGGGGTTCAAGTTTGTTGCGTCGTCGACCCACTTCAAAGAACGGTAGATTACACTCAAGAAGGAGATTTATGCAGGAGGCACTATTGCTAGTTTATTTACTTTTACTCTTTTTCCCCCAAATCACTCTGTTTCTTACCTATAATTGACTTATTTTCCTTTTTTTGTTAGTAATTTTTTTAATATCTATTATTAAATGAAATTTGGTTTTGTATCATTTTTATGTTTTTGCTTTTGAATCATGTAAAGATGAAGTTGCCAAATCATACCTGGAAATTAAGTACTTATAATAACTATAAAAGCTATACTACGATGAAATTGGAGTGGAGAAAGAAAAAATGGTGAAGATATGTTCTTTAATTTTGGTAGAAAAGAAGGAAAATAAGGAAAAGAACATTCTTGAAAATAAAAATGGGGTTAACTGCCATATACCCTGTTTGGTTTGTATAAACGAACATGGGAGGCAAACTCATAAAGAAATGTGCATGGATGAATCCTTTATTTTGGTTCTCTCATCATAGGCAGAAAGTGCTACAGAAGGATGCATGATGGTTGTTAAGAAGTGGATTTGTTGTTTTGACCCTTATAATAGCATGAACCTTATGTCAATTTGTCTGGTTCATCACTTAATAGGTATTACTTGCAAGAAATTAAGGTTGTTGGGTAGATTTTTCTAAATGTATATATAAAGTAACATTTCAGGAGTACTTTTGTATAAAAATAATGAAAATAAGAGTATTCAAATTCTTTAAAATGTTGTAATAAATTATACTTTTCATTAACCCAAACATATATGAAGAATAAGTTGACAATGAATTGCTATGTATATATTACATTATACTACTTTTTAAATAATTTTTTGGGATGTTTTTTTAAATTATGGTTCTTAAATTAAAAAACTTCTACAGTATCTTTACTTTCTTTCTCCTTTGTTTTGTTATATTTAAACATCATCAGGAAATAATTATATTCTCTATTTTTCATTTGTTTTATTTTCTTCCCTGCTTCTTTCTTTTATCACCAAGAGTTGAGAATTGAGATTCACGTTGTGCTTCTATTTGCAAAACACGGATCTTTTTTGTTGTTGACAAAACTGGAGCTTAGTTTCTGTGTCAATTAACCTTTTTCATACATATTAAAGAAAAAGGCGAGGTACTTCTGTAAATAAAGTGAATTGATAGTTAATGGCTCTTTGTTAAAAAGTAAAAATTGATTGTATGGGAGTCAAAGCCAAGATGTGGAAATATTATTGTGATTTTGCATTCTTCTTAGTTTATATTCTCTTTTTTTACTCAGAGTTGGGGGACAGAGAAGGGAAACAAGTAAGCTCCAGTTAGAGTAGTTTGTTTGTTAATTAGTTAGAAGGGGGCTTAAATACCTTTTCCATTCTCGCAAATATTCTAGTTTTCACTCTTAGCCCTTGTGATTTTTGTAATGATTCTTGTAAAGTTCAAACCTTTGAATTTTTGGTTTTGCTGTCAGTCTCCATTACAAAAACGCTTATTGAACTTGTTATTCTCCATTTATGCTTTTTTGCCATTCATATGTATCTCATTATCATTTTCCAAGAATCACATACAAGGGTATCCATCTATTCGAATCTTTTCGTAAAGGAAGTGATGTCAGATAATAATGCCATTATGTAAAATCAATTGGTCAACCAGTGTATGATGAAGAATTCCTACCACTTAAAATATATTTTTGTCCTTAAAAAATTATCTGTATTTGATTTTAGTCTCTTAAAATGAAATTTATTAATTTTAATCGTTCAAATTTATATAATATTTATTTTTAATTCTTTTTATAAACACTATTAATTTTTATGTTAAAATAAGTCACTTAATCACCTAAATCACCATATCTTTTTCACTACAAGAAAAACTGTTATTATTTACAAAATATTAACTATGAAATTTTTCCGTAAGTAATATTTAATTATCTACAAAATATTACTTACGAAATCTTTTTCGTAGGTAATATTTAAGATTTTCTTTTTCTCACATTTTTTATTATATATGTTTTTTCTTTTAATACAGTATAGAAACAAAATGCGTACATTATTTTTCTTTTAATATTTTAAAGTTTAATATTAGTAATAATTTTTTTTAAAAAATTATAATAAAGTATGTAAATAAAATATAAATTTATCTTTCAACAAACTTATAAATTTCACTTTATTATATAAATCAATAATTTTAATATTTTAAAAAAATAAATAAAAGTATATATAATTTCAATATATTATAGTAAATTTAATATAATAATAATAATAATAATTATTATTATTATTCTTTTTTATTCAAATAGATCAATCTTTTAATATATTATAGTATATATATAATAATAATAATAATTAATATTATTATTCATTTTTATTTAAGTAAATCAATTTTAAGTGTAATATAAGTTTTTTTAAATAACATTACAACATTTTTTATATTAGGCAACGGCTAAAAAAATGTTCTCAAAATATGGAATAAGCAATAATTTTGTAAATTGTTGGCATTTACAACAATTATAAAACTGCTCCCAAAAACACATATAACCAACAATTTTGTAAATTATTGGCATTTTATTTGACAATAATCATAAAATCGTTCCCAAAAACACATATAGGCAACAATTTATCAAAGTGTGCAGTATTCTCTTTTCAATATTAACAAAACTATTCTTGCACTACTAAGAAAAATACCTTCGCACTCCCTTCCCCACCTCTTCACATACCCTTCCTCATCTCCCAACCCCACACCCCTTCTCTCTTCACCATCGCCCTCTCCGCCCCCTCCCTCGCCCTCTTCCGCTGCCTCCGCCAGTCCACGCTGCCGCCTCTCTCCTCTTCAGGCCAGACTTTGCAGTGTGAGCTGCGTGCACCGACTCCGTCACTGCACTGTCAGCGCGCGACACCAGGCAGCCGTTCTCTTCCTTCCTCAAGCTGCTCACTGAGGTGCTTTTCACGGAGCAGGAGCTGAGCTTGCAGGCCGCCTCTGCGCTGTGCATCACCGTCGCGATCGCCGCGGCTCTGGATCCGAACATGCCTAGGCTCGCAGGCCCAAGCCCAAGCCCGATTGCCCAGTTTCCTCCGACACCATACAGTGTCGTTGTGGCCATGGCGCTTGCGAAGTCAAAACCTCAACATCTCAACACTCTCGCGGGTGCTCTCAACATTCTTATGGGTGCTTTTCTCTTGCTGACCATCGACAACCCCGGAGGAGCTCTTTCAAAACGACTCTTGGCTTCAGTAAGCTCTCTTCTGCTTGCTTGTTCAGTTGTGACTGAAACGTGGTTGTATCTGTGGTAGATTGCTTAGTTGCTTATGATTATATAGTGTTGTTCTGATTGGCTATGATTTATTTTCTTTTGAAGGATGCTATTAACAAGAAAGAAACTTCTTTTAACATACTCTTGAATGCATACTTCTATTACTAGATAAATTTTATGCAGGTCCCATTCAATAACCTGGGAAACACTCTATTTCTCTTTTATTGTTCCCTTTTTTAACTCTTGAGTGAAAAATATCTTGAAGAGTGGGCTTTTTATGATATGTGTGGAAGATTATTTTTATGATTTAGATTTGTATGTCTTGTTTTTTGCTTCCTCTGCTTTGTTTCTAAATAGAATCATTGTTATGTCAGGATTTTGACCTTAATATACTTGACTTGCTATCATCACTTAGGTTGAAAAAAATGTGTGGACAATCAAGGTGAGATTAACCAATAATAATACACTTTGACGTCACATGTTTTGTTGGCTCTTGTAGGTGGGTTGGTGGGCTGGAATGTCAAAAGACATTAATGACCCACATGGTCTAATTATTCGCATAACTCCAGAGCACGGAAGATATGTGGCAAGGAGTTATAATCCTAGGTAATTTCTATTTGACTTCTTGCCTTGATTGCCTTCTGTGTTCCTTTTGTCCAATATATCATATGGAGTTAACTTAGGTACGTTATTCAATTAGTTAATCAATAAGTGCTTACTCACCAACCTCTCTTGAACATAATTAACCATTTGAGAGATTCATTGTTTCCAAACTAGATATATTTTTTCCAATGTTATTCTTTATAATTATCTCTTCTATTATAGGAGAAGTTCTATTCTGTTTTTTAGGTCATTTCTTTATATTACTTTGATACATTTTGATGGTCATGCTATCTCATGTGGCTTCTGGTGTTCACCCTTTTCACCATAATTTTTCAGGCAACTTATTTCTTCTGCAGCTGGTAGTCCTCTATTTGAAATTTTTCTCACAAAGAATAAGAAAGATGAATTTAAGTCAAAGGTATCTTTTCTCAACTGAATTTTTTTTTATAATATTTTGCTGGGACCATCACGACATAAACAAGCATTTATCTCTAAAATTTGAGCTCAATAACCTTATTTCATCAGCTCAAGATGGATTGTCATTGCTCTTTGAAAATATCTCATCTGAATATGAAAATGAGTGTGCTAAGGATGATCTTCTGTAGACTGCTGTACAAGTTTTCTTTCAATAATCCTGTGGCAAAAAAATCATTTTTTATAATATATGCATTATGGCAGAGGAATCAGGGATTATATGCAAGAATAAAGTGTATTCTTATTGTTTATGGTCAAATAAAATCTGAATTGTTATCACAAGATCTTTTCACAAATATTTGTGGTTCTACAAATTATAAGCAGTCTAGAATATCAACCAATTTATATTTTTGATACTTAGTTGGATTTAGAATATTGATGGAAATGGTTCTCTTTTGCGTTGGTTTTTAGCAGGAAAAAGTACTGACTTAGGCCAAAACAGGCATGTTACTTCCCAATTTTCATTTGGAGGTTCATATTGTTTTAATTTTCAAAGTGTCATTGTCAAATTTATAAATTTTGTTTTCATGGCAAATTGAGATTAGGTTTTTGGGTTTCATGGTCCATCTTGATTTGCTTGAGGTTCAAACTTTAACCAAACCATGCTTCTTTACAGTTTACAAATTTCAGAAACCTAACCAAGTGGCAAGTCATTTATTTAGGAATGCCCACCTGACCAATCCATAGTTATTGGTTTGGCTTCAACTTAATCCATAGTTTGTTGCCAACCTACCATTATAAATGAGAACATGGTGACCATTTATCTTATTAATTCTTGGAATTTTGCTAGCTATTTCTAATTCGTAAAAATAAAACATTGCTACTTTATTTCTGTCTATATGGAATTAAAAGAAAAATTAAATTCCCAAATTGAAATTTGGATAGACTATCTGACACCTCCACACCTATTACACGTAGAGACATGAGAAAAAGAAAGCCACTGACCAAACTGTGAAATGATAAAAATAAAGAGAGACAAAGAGACATAACACTGGTGAGAAAATTAAAATTTGCTATTAATAGAATTTATTTCAATAAGTTATTAAATGTAACTTGAACGCGAGATTAAATATTTTTAATTATAAATTTATATTAGAATGTATGGTTTTTAAGATAAAAATTAGAATATAACTGTGGGGGTGGGAGTTAGAACGTGTAGAAGGTGTTGTGCTGGAGGGTGGCAGCTGCAATGTTGCTCCTGAGTTGAATTGCGAGAATTTAAACTCAAGCTCTACCGAAATTAGTTTTTGACTGTGAGTTAGTGGAAGATATATTTGGTTTAAATAAAAAAATATATATTTATGTATATGATTTTATTTTATTATTATACTTCCAGTTGATTACTCAATCATGAATTGAAAGTATATGGTGACCATTTATCTTATTAATTCTTGGAATCTGGCCATTGCAGTTTTTTCTCATGATTTTTTTTTTGGGTAGTTATCACATTGCAGGCACTAAAGGAATATACTATGCCCGTGAACCATATTCCAATGTAGATGTTGTGCATGTCACTCGTTTCATAGGGCTTGCATCTGTTGGAAATAGAGATAAGCAGGTTTAGCTATTCATCTCTAGTGTACTCCTTCATGTTAATTGTTGGAGATTGATTGGGGATTAATTCTATAAGTTTTCTAAGTGAAAAAATATATTTATGTGCAGGAAAGACTTGATAATGAAGATCAGCCTTATGATGATGAAGAGACTGAATGATATTACTTACATGGATGGATGACTAGCCTTATAATTTGTTTTATTATTTTTTGAGGGTGAAATCAATTCTTTATTGAGCACATGAGAAATGTCTTGTTGAAGAAGAGGATGTACAATAGGATTATCAATCCAAAATAATGTATAGTTCTTCTTATTAATATGAGTTGTTTAATATACTATTTGTATTATAATTATAGGTGCGTATTACATATATATGATTTCACAGGATAAAGTAAAATTTAGACAATATTTTAGACAACAATAAAAAAATGTTAAATTTAGTCTAATTAATTTTTAAATTTAGACAACGTTGGGTGTTTATTTAGAAACTATTTACAAAATTGTAGCTTAAATTTAGTCTAAATTGTTACCTATATTATCTCATTGACAACCTTAAAAAAATGTTCCCTGATGTCACTAGCAACGGTCATAAAAGTGTTGCCTATAAAAATAGACTACATTTCTAAAACCGTTCTTTAAAAATTAATAGTGTTGCCTTAAATTAAAAAAAAATCGTTGCCACTGAAGATCATGAAAACCGTTCTTGAAAGTTTAGGTAACGGTTTTTTTGACATCGTGGGCACATGTCAAAAAACCGTTGCATATTGAAATAGACAACGGTTGATAAATCCACGCTTGAAAAATCGTTCCTAAACCGTTCCCTAAACTTTTAGGAACGGTTTTTTGGCTTTCAACAACGTTTTTTTATTGTTGCCATATTTAATTTTAAATATATGTGATTACTTTCTACTTTTATTGATTTCTGTATGTGGGCGGAGTAAATTACATTATTTTAAACAAATATTGTGTTTTTTGTTATAGACTATTTATATTGTTTATAATATAAATCTATTTAAACAAAGAATTTAATTGTTTTAGTAATAAAAAATTCATATGTAAAAATTAAACTCAATATATAATTTAAATAAAATTAGGTATATACATACTAAATCAGTTATTCATCTTTTGATATAATACTGATTTCTTTTGGTTATAATATTTTAATATATTTTGTTTAAAATATCAATTAACATATTTTATTATCTTTTTATTTTAATTTATTGTAAAATAATTAGAATACTTAATTTAGCATCATTAAAAAAATAATCATTATAAAATTTAATTTAATTAGTTTAATTATTTATTATAATATTTTTAGTCACTTTTATTTAAAATTTTAGTTAATTTATTATCATTCGCTCACTTTATTAAAAAGTGATAAAATATAATTAATTTTTAATTAATTTAATAAAATAAAAACTTGAAAATATATATCTAACTCTGTAACAATTTCTTAAATATAAATATTTAATTAATTTTAATATATACTAAATTTAATATCAAAAAAATTATTATGATTTTAGTTATAATTTTTATTATCTTTTAATTTAATATTGAATATGTTTTGATTATAAAACATAGTAAATAAAATCTAAAATCTGTATGAATTTCTTTGATAAAAATATTTAATTAATTTTAATATATAATAAATTTATTATCAAAATATTTATTATAACTTGAGTTATAGTTTTTATAATCTTTTATTTTAATAATGTCTAAAGTTGGCATGAATTTGGCTTATGAGTTTTTTTCACTTTGGGGCTCATAAAACCGCTATTAGAGAGGAACCAGTGAGCTTAAGTTAAAACAACACATCTCCTTCCGGAAAGACTCTGTAACACCGCTCTTGTCCTAGCAGACATTCTGGAAAGACGCCGGCCACGACGCCTCCTTCTCTGTTAGGTATTTCATCGCTTCTCTACTCTGTTTGTCGCTTTCTTCGCTTCTCTGCTCTGTTATGCGTTTCGCTTATGAGATGGAAACCTCATTTCGGGAAATCTCGCTTATGTTTGAAGGTGACTCTTCCCTTGGCAGAGCAATAAACTCTGATTCTATCTTCTATTATTTATTTTCTGTTACTTCTTGTTTTTACTGTTACGGGGGACCTATCACATTGTGTGTTTGAATTTTGTTACTCGTGTTACTTACCAAGAAACCCAAGAAGTGGTCAGATTTTATCTTTTATAAATATAAAGGAAAATCAAATGATTCAACAGCTTTCAGAAACAATTTTTTACAATTCTGTTATTGCTTTACTGCTATAATGCACCGATACGATACGCGTATCAGATACGACACGTATCCGATACGGCGATACGATTATTTTAAAATATATAGGATACGATACTTGTAAGATACGTGTTGTCATATATATCAATGTTCATATAATATAATAATTGTATACTTGTAATTTTGATCAAAATTCATAAACATTAAATATATAATTGCTATTTTGCAAATCCAAATTAAAAACATACTTATTGTACAATACTAAAAATAATTATAAACTATTTCATCATAAATTACTTTTTATTATTTACAAATAGAAATAATGTTACCAATTTCATTCATTTCTTAAAATTATCTATGTGGGAGACAATTTTCATTTACAGTTTATCAAGGACCAATATTTCTATGTTTCTATATTAAAAATGTTTATATATCTTATTTAGTTGTAATGAATATTTCATAATTTTTCAAAAATTTGAATACTTTATCGATACGTATCACCAATAAGTATCGGTGAAATATTTGAAAGTATCGGGATTGAATAAAATTTTCATAATATTTTCAAAAGTTAGGATACTTCATTGACAAGTATCGGTGAAGTATCCAAGAGTATCATGTCGGATACGTATCGGAAACGGATACGTGAAGCAAATTGAAGTATCGGTGCTTTATAGCTTTACTGTTTGTTGTGGGGCATGCGTGAGCATTGTGATGTTTCTATGTAGTGTTGTATGCGTGAGCATTGTGAGGTTTCTATGTAGTGTTGTATGTTTGACACAGGCAATAAGAATTCAGTCATTTTCTTCCCTATTATAACTTTTTTTCTCGGTTCTCCCATCCAAATTTTTTATTGTATTACTTCAATTTTGTCTTGGATATTTCACTTTTTCAGGAGTTTTAATGATAAGGTTAGAGACTAATGATTTCTATAATACCTTCAATTTTTGCTTGATTCTACTCATCTTTAAAATAAAGAATGGGTTAGAACAATGCTGATAAGGGACACTGGTATTAAACATGATGTGATATGAATTTTTTATCTTTCTTTGAATTTTTTTTAATCTGTTTTTCCTTCCTCCATGAATTTATTGTATTCAGCTTGCTTGTTTGTTTTTATGATCACTCTTTTCATGCTCTAACCTTTGTTTTCCCTCCTTTTGATTGCAATTTTGGCGCACAATTATTGTAGTGTGCAAGAATTTTAAGTCATGTTGGATTTATATAGTTGGTTTCAATTTTAGCATTGCATGGAGCGTACCTTATTTCAATGTTGATGGCTTGTGATATAGTTTTTATTTAATCAACTTTATCAATAGATAGTACATATTTGATACCTAACTTTGTCTTTCTTATTGCTAAGTTGAGATTACTTGTATCCTTTTAAATTGTTATACTTCCTGTGAAGAAAGTGTTAAGGATGTGCTTTGTACAGTTTGAAAATTAATGCCACTTCAAAACTAGGCATTTTGTGTTCGAATGTTCACTAGTGTAATTTTATTACATGTTTTAGGCTGCCATGGCAAATCATAATATGGCATTATTACATTAAGCCATACTTTTATTCCGCAATATCATGATTAGCTTCATAAGCCATTTCATTAATTTTACTTTTATTCATTTTATTGTTATTTTTTTCTTTTGTTGGCAAAATAATATTAAAAATCCATACTGCATACACCTTCACAATAGCTCATGCTTATTACTTTTTTTTTTCCATTTTCCTGGCAGGTTGAGGGCTTTATGTTTATATCCTCATTCATTTTGATCATTATATTTAAATACTGAGTGATCAAGTTGAATTTTATTTTAGGACATGAATTTAGTCTACTTGTGTAAGTGGTAGTTATTGTTTAGTTTCAGTGGAGTGTAGTTATTGTTTGGTGTTATTAGGTAGTTATTTTATACATGTGAAAATTATTATTTAATATATATTGTAGAGGAAGTCAGAGAGGGAGAAGGGTAGTTTTTTTTATCCGTTTTAGTGGAAGGAGGAGACACATTGTTAGGGGGAAACATTCTGTTTGGCATTATGTGTTTGAACCTGGCCTATGAACCAGATTAAGTTTCTAATATAATCTAGTATCTTGTTTTGTTTAAATTCGTGAGCCTAATAGGTTCAGAGGAGTTTCTGTCTAAAAATCAAACTGTGATCACCCCTACTAGAAACAATCAAGCTAGCACTAAATAGAAATGTTGGACCAATCAGTTAACGCATACTTATAAGTGAAGAAAAGGAAATAAATTAACGTGATGAAGATAGACAGGAATTACAGGGCGGAGACAGTTCAAAATCTAGTGAACACCACAGGGAAGTTGATACCACTATCATATCAAGTACCCCAGCAACTGCTGGTGAGTCCTTTAAGGTCAAGTAGTTTTTTGTTCATTTTACTTCTGTTAAATAGAGTTCTACTATTTTAGACACTGACCTAATTGGTGGTTCTAAAATTTTATCTAGAGGCACCAACAAGGATTAATTTTAATAAATTGTTTTAGTGTAAAAAAGATTGATTCCAGAAGGTTTCAGTTGAGTTTTTGTTATTTGAAGGGAGTTGATTTTAAATGTGATCTTTTATATAGTTTGATAGAAACTGGATCAAAATTATAAGAAAATGGGTTTGCATCTCCCAATTGAACCTGGATTATACCAAATTCACTGGTTGAACCCGAGTTTATACTCATTTAATTATTTAATTTATGGCTGATTTAATAATTGACTTGAATTGGCTACCCTACAAGAAAAATTGTTTTTATCTATGTAAATTTTTCCGTAGATAACGTTTAATTATCAATGGAATATTATCTACAAAATTTTTTCTGTAAATAATATTTAATTTTCTACGAAATATTATCTACGAAATTTTTTCGTAGATAATGTCCAGTTATCTACGGAAATATCCGTAGATAAGTTATCTATGGAAATATCCGTAGATAAGTTATCTACGGAAATTTTCGTAGATAACTCCGTATGTAAAACATATTTTTATTATCTTTTTATTTTTATTTATTATAAAATAATTAGAATATTTAATTTAACATCATTAAAAAAATAATCATTATAATTTTTTAGTTTAATTATTTATTATAATACCTTTTAATTACCGTATTAATCAAAAAAAATTTTAATTAAAATATATTTTAAAATTTTAGTTAATTCATTATCATTCACTTACTTTATTAAAAGTGATCAAATATAATTAATTTTTAATTAATTTAATAAAATAAAAACTTTTAAATATATATCTAAAATCTGTAATAATTTCTTAAATACAAATATTTAATTAATTAATTTTAATATATGCTAAATTTAATATT